CTAGCAAGAAACTTGAGCTATAAGCCATACAGTTTGTAATTATTATTAAGCCTCTGAGTGATTATTTTATAAGCAGTTGTGGGACCGCAGGTGGGAGAGATTTGTCTGGACTGCTGGGCAAGACAGGACCAGAGAAACTTTCAACTACACACAACAGTGAATGGTTTCTGCTGCACCTAATGCACCCTCTGTTGCTTCTGGAAGCATTGCTGAAGGTGCTTCCTTTATTGACAACACTTGGAAGAAATTGGATGTGCTAGGAAATGCAGGGGCCTGAAACAGCCTCTTAAACTTCACCCAGCTCTAAAACTCACAACAGGATCTGCTCGTAGCTGTAGACATTTGCTACACTTCTGGTTTATATCTGATATTTCCATTACAGGGTTTTAAAATCCTATCGGGTGTTCCTTACTTAAGGCCAATGGATAAAAGAGATCCAAATGGGTAAGGACATAGTCTAAGGAGCCTCTGTTGACTGCCATGTGTAAGACAAAAGAGACACATGGGGATGTCCTGCAGAGCTGATTTGTCTCCTGAGCCATGGCAGTTATATTATTGTCTTTCTCTCTCACCTCTCATTTTTGGTTTAGACAAGGTTTCTCTGTGTAGTCCTGGTGGTTCTGGAACTCACTCTGTAGACCAGGCTGGCCTCAAACTCAGAGATCTGCCTGCCTCTGCCTCCAGAGTGCTGGGATCACCCTGAGTGCTGGGACTAAAGGTGTGCACCACCATGACTGGCATATTATTTGCTCTTATAATTGACTCTTTAATATCTTGTGACGTTAATGAATTCCTAATCTTATAAGATCCACCATTTAAAACAACCCAAAGTAAATATTCCCTTTGGCCTATTTTTCCCCCTTCAAATTAATATCTGTAAGCAAACACCCTAAGCACCCACAGCTAGTAATTTACCACATGAACCCATAAGAAGAGAATATGGAATACTTCTCCTGTTTGTCACACAACAGGAGAGTAAGAAAAGAGTGGGATGGGGCAGAAACAAGAATAGGCAACAAGGAGGGAAAAAATATTCTATATCAAAATGAGGAAACCAGGATTGGAAATGCCAGGCAGAAGAGCAGCATCAATTCCCAGCAAAGCCAGTGCTGTGGATGGTCTGTATGTCAAATGTGTTGCTCTGATTGGTCAATAAATAAAACACTGATTGGCCAGTAGCCAGGCAGGAAGTATAGGTGGGACTAACAGAGAGGAGAATTGAAAGAACAGGAAGGCGGAGGGAAACTGCCAGCCGCCACCATGACAAGCAGCATGTGAAGATGCCGGTAAGCCACGAGCCACGTGGCAAGGTATAGATTTATAGAAATGGGTTAATTTAAGATATAAGAACAGTTAGCAAGAAGCCTGCCACGGCCATACAGTTTGTAAATAATATAAGCGTCTGTGTGTTTATTTTATAAGTGGGCTGTTGGACTGCCGGTGATTGGCGGGACCCAGAGAGAAAACTCCAGCTACAAAAGCCCTCATCTCCAGTTTCCAATCCAAGCAGGCTGATCCTTCTTTGTTTACAGTTGTCAATGGTAGCAGCTTGTTTAGCACCTGGCCCTGGGCTGCTGAAAATTCACATGAGCTTCTCAGGTCTAATCTTAGTGCTAGAGGCTCACCACTGGAAAAACTAAAGTTAAGTCTCCTTTAGCTCCAAGGATTGATAGTTACTGTTAATATTCTGACCCGCCCCTGGAAATCCTGTGCCTTGGCTCAACCCTGCTTCCTGACATAAAAGTCTCATTTTAAGGAAAACTCCTCCCCTCCCCACCTCTCTTCTGCTCTTTTCCTTCCCTGCCATGCCATGAGGTGCACACACTGATAGGAATTCCAAACACATCCCCAGGTTGCACATGCCAGGCAGGACACTTAGTCATTTCTGCCTAGTCATTTCTGGGTCATATGTTCTACATAACCCATGCCCTGTGGCTGCATGGTCACGTAATCACAAGGGCATGACCACTGATCTGTGCGCATGCGTGGAGTAGTCACGTGGGCCTGTGTGTGTGTGCAGGTGCGAGCTGGCCCTTAAAAGACAGGCCCCATGTTCCCCGCCCCCTCTCTCACACATGTCCTTCTGCAGGCCTGATCACATCTCTCCCTTTCTCCTTGTCTTAAAACTCTTGTTAGTGGATTCTATTGTGTTTCATGACTTTTCCTCGCAGGGTATGAGCACTGCTAAAAAACCATCACAAACCTCCGCTTTCTCTCCCTTCTTTTTCTTCCTTTTTTCTATCTTTCCCTTCATCTCTCCATTATAATAAACTCTCCACGTGGATGCAGCACCTGGGTGTGAATGACTTCCCATGCTCTGCCTCCCCCCTGCATCTGCCCAGCATGTTTTCCTGCATGCAGGGGATACCTTCAACAACCCCCACCCCCACCCCGTGTGCATATATCATAACAGTTTCGACCCTGGGAATGGAAACCTGGGCCTCATGACTGTTTAAGATTTCAGCAGCCCTACCACAGCCCTCAGCTAAGTGCTCTTGACACTTTCTTCCTCATTCACCCACTCAACAGCTTGGAGATGTCCATAGCCCAGTGTCTTTTGTAAGGCCAGCAGAGAGCTTTACTCTTACACCAGGGACATGGGGGAGCCTAGGCTAAGGAAGGGGCATGTGTTTGGAGGGGGTCATTTGTTCACCACCCCAGTAGTGTCGCTATGTGAGTTCTGGGCAAACAGCTAAAGTCCCTTAGGGTTCCAGCACCCTACACAGCGACAGAACCTGCCCTGCTAGCTCACTCACCAGCTCCATTTGAATTCCAGATACTTCCCACCTCAAACTCAAAAGCAAGCTTGGTATCACTTTCTTTCCTCTACACTGGAAAACTTCAGGACTACTTCAGGTTTTGCCTATGTGCTAGAACAGTTCAAGAAAAAGCTGAGCAAATCTTCCCTACCCAAGACAGCCTACCTCCAGGTGCATACACTTAGCTATTCATAGCTCAAGAGCCCAGCATGGGGTAAGGAAGCAATCAAGAGGAGGAGTGAGGAAATCTATCCCCTCCCACCCTTCCTCCTCTGGAAGATATTTGGTTCCTTGGAGTCCAATGTCTCTTGGCTTAGGAGTTGTGGCTTAACTCTGTACCCTAATTATCATGGATAGCCAAATGAGATCAATCACCTTGCCTCACCAGAAGCGCTACTTCCCTTACTCCTGGTGGAGGTGGGAGCTGTCTAGGTTTCTCACCATGCTAGTTGGGGAGGGTTCCTTCACTTGAGGGGCCCTCAGAGTGCCAGGACAGTCAATAGACACTTTCATGTCCTTCTCCACAATTTTGAGTCAGGTATATGACCCTGTGTAGAGGTATTCTCAAGTCATGGATGAGAGATGCCAATAAATGTAATAAGGGTGCTGGCAGTCATCTAGGGTATCATGAAGCTCGGTTCCCAGGGAGAGAAAACCAAGTTGCAGGGAAAGGAAAAGCAATTGCTTTATCCCTTTGGGATGGGCGTGGCCCTAAGGCTGTCAGTCTCCGCTCACTTGGGTATTTGATAGGGTACCTGGGATCCTCCCTTTTCCCCTATTTGGACTGTTTAGATGCTCCCCACTCCACCCCACCTTCCTGCCATTTTTCCTCACAATGTCTTCCAGGAACAGAAAACAGTCATCTCAGAGCCGGCTTTGCAGAGGAACCCTAGCACAGTCTTAAACTGTCATAAGACATTCTGCTCTTAATGCACTGCTCAGTCTATTGTGGGCCTTGGGTTGTAACCAGTGTCCTTTCCTAAACCAAGATGTGGAATTCAGGTGGCCCATAGATCCCAGAAGTGGAACAGCTGGCACAGAGGTCATGCAGAGCCCTGTAGCCACATGAGGAAGAGAACAGTGAAAGCCTTGGAGGGGACAGCACATACCTCATGTAAGGATTATGTCCTTATTACATCATCAGCCTGTGATGGCGTCCCAGCCTAAAAAGCGGGCGTGCCCTTCCATGGCTCACTCTCTCCCGTATTCCCTCTGTCTTCCTCACGGTCCCTCTCCCTCTCCCCCTCTCCCTCTCTCTCCCTCCCCCCTCTTCTAATAAAGCTCTAAAAGGTAACCATGGCTCATGATTCTTCAGCCACCGTAACATCAAGTGCTCTCTTCCATCGGCATGGCTGCCATGGGCCGCGGCCAGCAACTCCCAACACCTCATACTAATGGTTGGAGCCTGCCCAGCTTGTCCTTGTGTCCAAGTAGGATCTGAACACTGCCTTCTCATTCAGAAGGCTTTTCAAGGCTAAATCCTCTCCTTGCTCTGAAAAGGCTTGGTTTTAACCCTTTAGCAACTTGATGTCAAAGGAGGCTGAGGCCTGTGTGGTTTATTCTTAGAGACACCTGACAGCAGAAGCCATATTCCCTCAGCTGTTTGGAGTTATGCTCTAACACTCAAAGGTCATAAGCAGTCTAATTTTAACCTAAAGTATCAAGCAGTAACTACAGCAGATCTGATGTGGCCCATGGTCAACCTGTCTCTGTAACAGCCTGCTTGCTTGTCTGCTGCCTAGGGCCAGAAAAAAACTCAAAGCTCGAACTAAGATGGGAGTGTGGGCACCTTTCAGCTCTTCCCAGCAATCGTTTCCATCATTTCCTCAAACCTCAATAATATCATTCAAGCAAAAGAGCTCTGTAATTTTTTTTGTCAAGAAAACAATATAACAACTAAATATAATGAACCTTAGTTGGTATCACATTTTATACACACATACAAAAAAAGGAAAGGAAGTAGATCATAGCTCCATATGCACAACCCAGAGTTTAAAAACTTAGAGAAGAAACAGAGAAAGCCTTTAAGACTTCGAGTTAGGCAAAGATGTTTTAGATAGCACAGCAAAAGCACTGTATGTGGAAGCAAAGCCCAAACCTTCCTTCTTGGCTGGACTGTGGGTCAGCTCTTTGGAGGTGACATCTAGCAGTCCTGTAATTTGTCCATATTCCGGGAAGGTGAAAATTTTAGATGTGAAGCACTCAGTGACTGAGACATGCTGCACCCGCACATGCACTCACCTCCACCATACATCTGGCACAAATAGGGGAAGCGCCAGACATTGCCCAGGCCCACAGCATAGGAGACACAGACGAGTAAGAACTGCAGGGGGTTGCTCCACTTTGGCCGCACTTTCTCCACAACTCCAGGCTGGGCATACTCTGTTGACCCCAGTCTTCCTGGGTGCTGGCACACAGGGCCTCCGCAGGGCTGCAGCTCCTCATCCTCCATCTTCTGAGACAACTCTCAGCGTAGAATGGGCAACTCCTGTGTTTTCTTCTGGAATCCAGGCCCTTATGTTTTCTGTTGTCTGTCTCCAGGACTCTGGAATCAACTTTCTGCCCTATCAGTCCCTGGTGTGGGTCTTCCCTGCTTGACCGGTGCCGCCCTCTCTGCCTCAACCTCACAGGTGGCCAGTGCACACCCTCCCACTGACCTTTGGCCACATTCTTTTCTCTGTCTCATGTCTCTCAAACTCCAGGATTTCTGGGCTCCTCAGACTGCTATTAAGGGTGTCTGCAAAAAAATTTCACAAAGATATGATTGCATCTGCTGGAGGCCGATGGTGAATGGGAAAGTGTTTAGCTACAAACTGTAGAAAAACTCTGATCTATGTGCGTGTCACTTTCCATAGTATAAACACTCCCACTATGGCACATTCTGAGCTACCAATACAACAGGACACCATTATGTTGGGTTCCCACCTTGTACATACAATGACACGGGTAGCCTTAAGAGCATAAGTGACAGTAAGGGACAGCAAGCAATTAGAAATGGTGAGTTTTGAGTATTGTCTGATTTATAATTTACACATCACTCAGACCTCAGTAATAACTGTATTTAACGATTGCCTCACCAAAGGGGATGAAGCTAAATTCTCTGGGGTGTCCAGATTCCCAGTGCAAGTGATTCAGTCCTGCTTACCCCACCTGAGTATTCCCAGAAAGCCGTTCTGACTAATGGATGACGGCCTGTGGGTGAGAACTTCACTGTGCCTACCAGAAACAGAATACAAAAGACTATCAAATGGTGTCACCAGAATTCTGGAGGAAGGAGAGAAAGGGAGGACAGCTCTAGCCAGGATTCTATAGTCTTACTCTACCAACTAAGAAGGTTATACAATTTTCAATCATTTGCTCATCCTGTTGAGTCCACTGTTAATTAATCATCGAAGTTTCTAGTTTCCTGGTATGAGAAAGTCCAAATTCCTTAGCTCTGTTTGCAAGGCCTTGAATTTTTGTTGTTGTTGCAGTTCTTTTCTTTAAAAAAAAAGACTTATTTTTATTTTATGTGTGTGTTTTGCCTTCATGCAGGTGTATAGTTATATCATCTCTATCATATATGTACCTGGAACTGGAGTTATGGGTGGTTGTGAGCCACTATTTGGGTGCTGGAAACTGGATCCAGGTTATCTGCAAGGACAGCCAGAGCTTTTAACTGCTGAGCCATTGCTCCCCCCCACCCCCACACACTCCTTTTGAGATGGGGTTTAGCTAAGTTGCTTGCTTAGGTTAGGTCTTCAGTCTTCCTTCTTCAGCCTCTCTTAGGTGGGCTACAGGTGCATCATACCCACCTGGCTCATGTTGACTTCTAATTACAATTATATTATTTGAGATTTGTTTTGTGCCCTAAGATATGGTCTATTTGGGGGAAGCTCAATGTGCTGATGAGAATGTATGTTCTACAGCTGTTGTATGAATAATCTTTTAAAAATGATAATTGATCTTTTATCATTAAACAATGATCTTCCTTTGTCTTTTTACAGGATTTTGTTGTTTGTTTTTTTAAACAGGATCCCACTATGTAGCCTAGTCCTGGAATTCACAGAGCTATAGTCTATTTGCCTTAGCCTCCCAAATAGTGGGAATTCAGGTATACACTGCTACCACATGTGCCTCGTTTTACTGTTTTTGATGTGAAGTCTGTTTGATATTATCTTTTCATTTTCTAAATTAGTCTGTTCACAAAGCAAGGAGAAGTCTTATGTAGAGAGAGACCTGTAATTGCAACCAAGAAATGAGAGAAAAGCCCAACCACAGACACTTGCTTTAAGTTTATAAGTTTATCTACAGTGATGACTGGTAAAAACCAAAAGCTTCTTCTTATATCTCAGATCGGAGTTAAAGATGGCTATGTTTCTGGAATAAACAGAAAGTTTCATGGTTGTAGCATGAATCTTAAAGAGTCTTATTATTAAAAGCAAACCTGGAGCTAGGTATTGGGGTAAATGCTGAAAGATCAGAGAAACAGAACCAGCCACAGCTAACCTCGCCTCACCAGTTCCTCAGCTGATCTCATTTCCTCAAACCAGAAGCCTCTGACGCCTCATCATCTGAATGAGTCTCAGCTGAACTGCTGCTAAAAGCCTAAAAGCTTAACCAGGCTCTAGTTCCTGGTCCTCACACCTTATATACCTTTCTGCTTCCTGCCATCACTTCCTGGGATTAAAGGTGTGTGTCACCATGCCTGGCTGTTTCCAGTGTGGCTTTGAACTCACAGAGATCCGGATGAATCTCTGCCTCCAGAATGATAGGATTAAAGATATGTGTGCCACCATTTTCTGGCCTCTATGTCTATCTAGCAGCTGTTCTGTTCTCTGACCCCAGATAAGTTTATTAAGAGGCACAATATATTGGGGAACACAATATCACCACACATGGTTAATGTCAAGTGTACAAAGATGGAATGTCCCTTTCTCTCCAGCCTATTGGTGAGAAAGTGGCCAACTTCCATAATCCGCACTGTTGTGCCTAGAAACAGCAAAAGATTTGTCTGAGATATAACTTAGTACCAGCTCAAGAGAATTATTGAGAAACATCTTGCTTTACATGAGATCCACAGAAACCAAAGTAAAGCTATGTAAACATGGAGAAGCTGGCATTCAACTGTATGTAGACAGCTCCCTGGCTGACCTGTACAGCTTAGGGTCTTCTGACTTTACAATGGTGTGAAAGCAAAATGAATTCTGTAGAAGCTATAGCTTGAGTTCCAAGATTTTGGGCAAGCAATCTGAAGCAGGATACTCTCTGGAGATGAGGGGCACCTGTTGGTCACATGGCCTCTGGGATGATCAGTGACCTGCTATTCTGACTGTGATGGTCAGGAAGGTAGGTGTAACAAATGCATTTCAATTTAGGGTGTTCTTCAGTTTACAGTGGCTTCAGTAGGACGTAACCACAATGTGGGTGGAGGAGTATAGGAACACAGTCCAAGAATGGAGTTGTGTAAGAATTCTGAGTGTTGGAGCTGGAGAGATGGCTCAGTAGTTAAGAGCACTGACTGCACTTCCAGAGGACCTAGGTTCAATTCCCAGCACCCACATGGCAGCTCACAACTGTTTGTAATTCTAGTTTCAGGGGACCTGACACCCATGGCAAACACGGATGCACATAAAATAAATAAACAAAAGAAGAAATATTCTCAAAAAAAAATTCTGAGTGCTTGTGAGGAAACTCCAAGAAAACAACAAGAGTCTTGTGACCTCAGTTTCTTCAAAACATGGAATTGTTCTTGGATTGTGCTTCTGTGCCCCTCCCAGGTGTATCGAATAGGAGTGAGTTTACTTCAGATTATTCATTCCAACTGGCTATTATTTGTTTACATGCTTCTATGGAAAAATATATTCTTGCCACATGCAGCTTATCCTTGTATTACATACAGCTTGAACTCATAGGAGCTTTCCTCGTGTGATCTTTCTTTCTTTTTTAAAGATTTATTCATTATGTATACAGTGTGTAGATGTATCCAACCTTCTTATTAAATAAGAAACACAGAACCAATGCAAAGAAGAAAGCCAAGAGGTCAGAGCTAAGAGCTAAAACCTTACCCTTCCTCCTGCGGTGGTCCTACCTCTCCGAACCAGAGATACCCCTGTGTTAAAGTCTTTATATAGAGTTCCTGTCCTGCCTTCTCATTGGTTGTAAACCCAACCACATGACCACCTCCTCACAGCCTGTCTGTATAGGCCTCCAGGTTTTCCATGATTGGTATTAAGATTAAGAGCATGTGTATCCAATAATGGCTGTATCCCTGAACACACAGAGACTTACCCAGCTCTGCCTACCAAGTGCTGGAATTACAAGCGTACGCTACCACTGCCCTGCTTTCCTATGGCTTGCTAATAGCTCTGACCCCCGGGCAACTTTATTCATTAACATACAAATAATATTTTAATACAAATAAAATATCACCATATTTCCCCTTTTCTATTTTAATAAAAAGGAAAAAAAAAAGCTTATAACTAATATAAGAAAAACTATATACAAAAGGACAATAACTATATACAATATATACAAGTAATAAATACCTAAACAATGTCTAGTCCATTTGTATTTGACAAATTCAGAGAAAATAATTTCATTATCTATCCTATTTTGGTAAGTCCAAAATGTATCCTAATTAATCTTCAACTATAACTGCTGTGGGATGGTCTGTATGTCAAATGTGTTGCTGATTGGTCAATGAATAAATCACTGATTGGCAGTGGCCAGGCAGGAAGTATAGGTGGGACTAACAGAGAGGAAAACTGAGAGAACAGGAAGCTGGGGGGGGGGGGGGGGGAGACACTGCCAGCCGCCATCAGGATAAGGAAGATGTAAAGTACCGGTAAGCCACAAGCCACGTGGCAAGGTATAGATTAATAGAAATGGATTGATTTAAGCTGTAAGAACAGTTAGCAAGAAGCCTGCCACGGCCATACAGTTTGTAACCAATATAAGTCTCTGTGTTTACTTGATCGGGTTTGAGCGGCTTGGGACTGGCGGGTGAGAGAGATTTGCCCTGACTGTGGGCCAGGCAGAAAAACTCTAGCTACAAATGGCGTCCAACGTGGTGGCAAGAGTTTCCACCTAAAACCTGAAAAAAAAAGATTCTAAAACGGAGCTAAAAACAGCTTCCTAATTGTCTCTCTCAAATGAGCGACAGCTGCCGGTTTGAGCTACTGGCGGGTTGCTGGTGTGCGCGCTCGACCTGCAGTATGGCGGGAATGAGGCCTCTGCAAGTGGCACATTAAACTACATTGTGGATTTAGCCTTTGCTAGTACAAAACAAAAGAGGTTTCTGGGCTACATGCTGCTTGGATAAAAGCATAGACCCACGATGGCTCCCAGAGCTGGCGGTAAGCATACTGCCGCCATGTTGGGAAGCTGAGGTGGGCGGAGCCAGTAGCCACAGCTGCTGCAGCTTAAAGCAACAGATTCATAATAAGACAGATTCAGATGTAATAGTTTAAAATGTGTGTAAAATATACGTAGGCTTGAAAGAGATTAAAAAGGTGATATATGCAGTTACAGAAACAAATACATAGTTTTAAAAAATAAAGTCTTTAAAGAGACAGTAAAATTAATATAAAAAATAAGCCACGTAGAGATGACTATTACACAGAGAGTCTGGATTGTGTTGTCTTTGGGATTCTTAACTACAGAGAGATATTTGATTGTAAAGGAAGCTGAGTTAAACCAGTATGTATATTTTAAAGATACTTTGACTTCAAAATTTGGATGTAAGGATATGTTGCTTTGGAAAAGAGTCTCTTTTGTTTCCACAGAAAGCCAGAGGCTATGGATTTGCTCAAGATTAAGATACATCAGGTTTGACCAGCCAAGACCACCTGAAAGGTCTCCGATGACACCATGGCCCAGATGATCCAACATCCAGAACCGTTTCAAGGCAACTGGCTCAGATGATACAGCCTCACGGACTACTCCATGATCCTAAAATTTTCTTTGTTTCCCCAGAAGATACAGCGCCCCCCTCCAGCAGGAAGTAGTAAGAGAAGCTACGCCCAAATTCCCAAATATACCAAGCTGACTTTGGAGATGTGTAAAGGTTAAAACCTTCCTTTTTAAGAAAAGAAAAGGGGAGGTGCTGTGGGATGGTCTGTATGTCAAATGTGTTGCTGATTGGTCAATGAATAAATCACTGATTGGCAGTGGCCAGGCAGGAAGTATAGGCGGGACTAACAGAGAGGAAAACTGAGAGAACAGGAAGCTGGGGGGGGGGAGACACTGCCAGCCGCCATCAGGATAAGGAAGATGTAAAGTACCGGTAAGCCACAAGCCATGTGGCAAGGTATAGATTAATAGAAATGGATTGATTTAAGCTGTAAGAACAGTTAGCAAGAAGCCTGCCACGGCCATACAGTTTGTAACCAATATAAGTCTCTGTGTTTACTTGATCGGGTTTGAGCGGCTTGGGACTGGCGGGTGAGAGAGATTTGCCCTGACTGTGGGCCAGGCAGAAAAACTCTAGCTACATATAACTAACTAACCTTCAACTATAACTAACTAATCTTCAACTCTCTCAGAGACCCAAGAAGGAAATAATATTAGCTAACAAAAATAAAAACAGGGCCGGGCGGTGGTGGCGCACGCCTTTAATCCCAGCACTCGGGAGGCAGAGGCAGGCGGATCTTTGTGAGTTCGAGGCCAGCCTGGTCTACAGAGCGAGATCCAGGAACGGCGCAAAGCTACACAGAGAAACCCTGTCTCGAAAAACAAAAAAAACAAAAACAAAAACAACAACAAAAATAAAAACAGGAAGTGCACATAAGCAACTTCCAAAAAATTTGTGAGTTGACAGAAACAGACAGCTGTCTGGACAGTCACCTGAGGTTTCTCCGAAGTGCTGGGGCATCATCTTCAGCCTATAGGCTTAGCATATCTGACAGACTGATTTGTGAAGTAGGATGTACACAAGGTCAACAGTTCAACCTCACATTGAGTGAGAGTAGTCCATGTACCAGAAACACCTGAATTCCACTAGTGTCATGTCATGATTCAGGATTTTAAATTCTGGAAATTGTTGATGGTTTTTTAATTCAGCTGTCCATTCTTCTTTGCTGTGTATATATGGCTTCATCTCAGCATCCCATTCTTCTCCATATCCCTTTATCAAATGCCAGTCTACTATTGAGAGGCGTGAGCTTAGTTACTCTTCAAGAATAACTGTTTCAGCTGCTGTTCCATTGCACATCAGAGGCCATCGGCCCACTGCCTGTTCAGCTGCCTTCGAAGAAAAGGGCACTGTACCTTTTTCGAATTACGAAGGCCACTTCAGGGATGGTGCCATATTGTCCTGGCCTCTGAAGATGCCTTTTGATAAAGCCATAACTACACTTGTTTTGGCAAGAATCAGTAATCCTTTGTTTTATGTCCTGTCTGTCCATTTTGTCCTGTTGATTCGAGGATACTTTGTTGTCCAGTGGCTAACTTTTGCCACAATGAAAGTTAACTCCATATGCAGTTTCTTCAATGCCCATATTTTCTCTGAAGTAGATTGGTGCTGCCAGGAGCCGACATGTCTCATAGTCATAACAAAAAAGAAAAATTTTCTAAGTTATGAAAACATTTTAAATGCCATATTCTGTAGATCTCTGAAGGGTTTGAAGATAACCTGTCTATCTAAAATATATCTACTCAATCTTGAAAACATACCTAATATAACTACAAGTTCTATTATAATATCTAACTACTAACTTTCATTTCTTTATATCCTAATAGTTGGTAATAACATTCAAGGATCAGAAAATTGCATTACATTGTTAGATGAACGGTACAATTAGAAAAATATATATAACATTTTCTAACAATATCAATTTCAATATATATAATTTGTATACAATATAAAACAATCCAATCCAATGTAAAGTATTTACATTTTTCTTTTCTTTCTTTCTTTTTTTTTTTTAATAAGAACCTTAAATCTAATCTCCTTTGCTTAGCCTTTTTCCTAAGCCTTGACAACAACTTGTAACCAACCCCCTAATCAATGAAAATTATCCCAGACCCAAAACCTATTAAAAGACCAAAAAAACCAACCGCCCCACACCACCTCTTTGGGAATGTGGGTGTCGTATTCTTGAAATTGCTTCCTGCTGGGTATGGGTGAAGGTATCTTTATCCTGAAAGAAAAATTTTAGGTTAATTGTCAAATTCTAGGAAAGGTAAATATATCCTTCGTTATCCAGTCTGTGTATAATGCCAAAATTCAGGGTTTATCTCAAATCCTTATTCAAGTAGTCTTTGAGACTGGATCATCTCAGCTAGCTCTTCTCAAAATTGCTCTGAGCACTTTGTAGTTCAAAGCTGATCTGTAGATGATGTTTGTCAGCTTAGTGATGTTATTATTGTCCACGTGGAATTGTTGTTGTTGTGGGGCCCCATCTTCTTCCTGGAGACTTCAGTTGATGTTAGGCCTAACCGTGATTTCCTGCAAAAAACTGATAAGAGACTCGAACACAAAGACTATATATGCGACTTTTTAGAATTAGTTAGTACTCTATATGACCATTTATATCTTAACAAAGTTTAAAATGTATATATATTTATATATATTGATCTTGTAAATTTTGATATAAAATTCATACTTTAAGAAAAGTTTAAAGAATCAGAATAGAATCAAAGAGTTGAGATTCGTAATAGAATAGTCCCTTAATTTGGCTTTTCTCCTGTCCCATAGCAGAAGATGGCTCTTTTCTTCTGGCATGATACAGGGAGTTTGCATTTTCCTTTTAACAACATGCTTGAGTTTAAAGAAGGAGAGAGCCATTCTCCAACTCCAAAGTCAGCTTTAAATTTTAATTGAACTGGGACTATTAGAAGTTAAATAGTGTTAAATCTTTAAAGAAAAGCAGAAACAAATATTTAGGAAGACATAAAATTTTTTTAGATAACATACCCATACGCCATTTCACTCTGTTTCTTAGGATAGATGATTTGTTCCTTTTCTTCAGTTGTCTCATTTGTCCAGTGTTCTTCAAATTCCTTAACCTTCATTCTCCTAAAAGACAAAAACAAAAACCTTTCTCCAAGGTTTTTTGGGGATGTTCCTTTTTGACAAGTTATCTGATTAAATGAAAAGGCATGTGTTACTGGTGTAAGTTAGTTTAAATTGGATGTTTACGGTAGTTGATGAACTATCACCTCCTCTAATTAAGAGGTCTCTCTTGTTCAAATCGAACCTTTATCAATTTTGATGGTACCCACAGCTTATCTTCTCCTGTAGAAATAAAAGCAAAACCTCGTCCCCAACGTAACACATACCCTGGTTTCCATTCTGAGGTCAGCACATCCTTAAAGTATATAGGTTGATTTAATTCTGTAGTTTTTTCTATTATCCAATGTCTCTCTGCAGCTGTTGTTCCTTTCTCATTGGCATTGAGAAAATTCAAAGTTAATAGAGCATTATGTAGTCTATTTCTGGGGGTTTTTGTTACTCCTTTTTGTTTATTTAGCATATCCTTTAGAGTTCTGTTTGATCTTTCTATAACTGCTTGACCTGTAGGATTATGTGGTATACCTGTAACATGGTTTATATTATAATAAGCAAAAAACTGTTTCATTTTAACAGAGACATATGATGGAGCATTATCAGTTTTGATTTGTGCAGGTATACCCATAATGGCCATAACTTCTAGCAAATGAGTGATTACAGAATCAGCTTTTTCAGAACTCAAAGCAGTTGCCCATTGAAATCCTGAATAAGTATCTATAGTGTGATGTACATATTTCAGTTTTCCAAATTCTGCAAAGTGAAACACGTCCATCTGCCA